TTTTTTTTTTTTTAAATATGCCTATTTCCTCCATGGGGCCCCAACACTACGCCACTGTTTATGTGTTTGAGTGAGAGAGAAGTGTATCATACACTGAGAACAAAGCAAAAGACACAAAGTTTAAAGAATGGCAAATACCCCACTACCCACCACTTTCCTGGAGCCTAAGAAACAGAGTTAACTATCATCCCTTGCTTAGTATGGGCATCCCTAAGGAGTATATTATTATTTAAAACAATAGCAACCACACCTAGTTCATTGAGAAAAAGGCAGTATTGCCACTATTAAATGAGGGCTTCCAGAAGGAGAAAAGTTTAACCACTTCTGAGTCTCTAGATTTGGCTTTGGCTTCCCTAAAACTTGATAAGAGCCTCTTTTGAGAAGTCATTGAGCTTTTGAGAGTGAATCTTAGGAAACAGGATTTACCACTGCCAGGATCTCTGGCAGAGGTAGAATATATAGACCAAGTAGAAGGTGTAATACGGTATTATTAGAACACAATATTGTGTATTCTAGACAACCAGGTTAGTTTTACTTTGACAAGTTTTTGCTTCTCATAGTGGCATTGACAGGATTATATTAAGGTACAAGCACATGTGCTCATGGAGTAGAGAACATCCATAGGCCATCATCCATCTAACAAAACTGGTTGGCTTCTCTTCATCATACTGCAGGAATTTGGATAATACAGCATCCATAAAGGAATCTTTTATTTTTCTCTCTTGGCTTCCTTACTGTGAAAACACAATCGTAAATATAAGGATGAATCATTGGGTAGCTATAGGTATTATAGAAATTTGCTCTTTAATACAGCTTCAACTATAAAAATCTTCCTAGGACAAGTGTTATATGAGTATGGGAGGTAGTCAGGATGGCATTTGTATGGGTGTTCTGTGTCTTTTTTTTTTTTAATGAAACAGAGTCTCAAGCTGTCACCTTGGGTGGAGTGCTGTGGCATCACAGCTCACAGCAACCTCAAACTCTTGGGCTTAAGCACTTCTCTTGCCTCAGCCTCCCAAGTAGGCAGGACTATAGGCGCCCACCACAACGCCTAGCTATGTTCTGTGTCTTCTTACCAAGCGGGCCAAGTTGGACAGATTTCTTCCTTTCATAGTAGTAGCATTGACACAGCAGACCAGTGGTCTTTAAACAGTCAGCATCTGCTTGCGTTGGATTAATAAGGCACAAAACACATGTGCTCATGGAATGGAGACTGTCTACGGGCTGTTTTTCTTATCAACAGGGACAGTGGGACATGATAAGGATTGAGAGGTGTACATTCTTCTTGGAAAGAGTCACCCTTGGGAATTTCTGGTCATGTCACTCCTCTGGATCAGGGTCTTTCCATCCTACTGCTTTGCCTTTACCTTGGAGGAATGTGGGGTTGTCTTGTGGATGTAAATGACTCTTTTTCTGTTTTGTGCAGATTTCTGCTGGATGTGTCTAGGGGATTGGAAGACTCATGGCAGTGAGTACTATGAGTGCAGCCGTTACAAGGAGAATCCTGACATTGTCAACCAGAGCCAGCAAGCCCAGGCCAGGGAAGCTCTCAAAAAGTACTTATTCTACTTTGAGAGGGTAAGTGTCTTCTGCACTTGCCCTTTCAAGGTATACATGTACTGCTGCTTCTTCTTTTTTTTAAGAGACAGAGTCTCACTTTGTCACCCAGGGTAGAGTGCTGTGGCATTACAGCTCACAGCAACCTCCAGCTCTTGGGCTTAGGTGATTTCCCTGCCTTAGCCTCCCAAGTAGCTGGGACTACAGGCGCCGGCCACAATGCCTGGCTATTTTTTTGTTGTTGTTACACAGTTGCAGTTTAGCCGGGGCTGGGTTTGAACCCACTACCCTCGGTATATGGGGCTGGCGCCCTACTCTCTGAGCCACAGGCACTGCCCTTTTTTTTCTTTTAAATAGTCTTACTCTGTTTCCCTAGGCTGGAGTGCCATGGCTTCTGTCTAGCTTACAGCAACCTCAAACTCCTGGGCTGAAGTGATCCTCCTTCCTCAGCCTCCCGAGTAGCTGGGACTATAGGTGCCAGCCACATTGCCTGGTTAATTTTTCTATTTTTAGTACAGACAGGGTCTTGCTCTTTCTCAGGATTTTTTTTTTTTTTTTTTTTGAAATAGAGCCTCAAGCTGTCGCCCTGGGTAGCATGCAATGGCATCACAACTTACAGCAACCTCCAACTCCTGGGCTTAGGCAATTCTCTTGTCTCAGCCTCCCGAATAGCTGGGACTATAGGCGCCCGCCACAATGCCTGGCTTTTTTTTTGTTGCAGTTTTGTCAGGCCAGGTTCGAACCCGCCACCCTCGGTATATAGGACCAGTGCCCTACCCACTGAGCCACAGGCACTGCCCATGCCCAGCTGTTTTTTAGTTGTAGTTGTCATTGTTGTTTGGCAGGCCCAGGCTGGATTCAAACCCTCCAGCTCTGGCGTATGTGGCTGGCTCCTTAGCCACTTGAGCTACAGGCACGCAGCCAGGATGGTCTTAAACTCCTGAGCTCAAGGGATTCTCCCACTTGGGCCTCCGAGAATGCTAGGATTACAGGCGTGAAGCACTGCACCTGACCCCAAAAACTTTTTTTTTTTTTTTTTTTCACAAAAACTCTTTACTTGGTTTGCCGGAGTAGGATTCTCAGGGACTGACAGCCAACCCCAGCTGATGGGGATGGACCTGGTATTGACCTTGGTTAAATGCTGGATTGATGGGGCATCAGATAGTCTTTTCCATCCAGTGCCATCTTAGTAGTAAGATTTAGACAGAATCCTCTCAGGAAGACCTTTTAGAAGTCCCTAGAGCACATTTGGTCTGTAAGCATAGTAGACCGTCATGGGCCTGGCTTTGTTCCTAGAGCTGGAGTCCCATTGCCACAGAGGGGAAGAGTGATCTGGCAGACAGCTGCTCCAGGTAGATTAGAAGTATGGACTGGTAAAGACCCCTTCCCTGAACTCTGAAGTACACACAGTCCCCATAAGTTAGAGTCATCTATAGCTTCACCTTCCTAGGACTTTTACAGTTTTCTTTTTCTTTTCTACCACATAGTGGGAAAATCACAACAAAAGCTTGCAACTAGAGGCACAGACATACCAGCGGATTCATGAGAAGATTCAGGAGAGGGTCATGAACAACCTGGGGACATGGATCGACTGGCAGTACCTACAGAATGCTGCCAAGCTCTTGGCCAAGGTATCTACCACTTCACTCTTCCAATGCCCAGTCCAGTGCCTGGCCCTGTCAGGTGTAGACCTCTGTTGGGGGTGTTTAGCACCCTATGCAGTCTTGCATGCTTCTGCTTATTGGTCTACATTTCCTGTGCTGTGTCCATCAAGGGCCCAGCCCACTGCTGGATGTTCAGGAGATTTCCTTTTTTTTTCTTTGGAGACAGAGTCTCAGTTTGTCGCCCTCAGTAGTGTGATGGCATCTTAGCTCACAGCAACCTCAAACTCTTGGGCACAAGCAATTCTCTTGCCTCAGCCTCCCAAGTACCTGGAACTGTAGGCACCTGCCACAACACCTGCCTATTTTTAGAGATGAAGGTCTCACTGGTGCTCAGGCTGGTCTTGAACTCCTAAGCTCAGGCAATCCATCCGCCTTGCCATCCCAGAATGCTAGGATTATAGGCATGAGCCTCTGCACCCAGCTAGGAGCTTTCTAAAAATAATGTTCCATTACCTCTGACTGCAGAAAAAACTTGAGTGTTCCTCTCCTTTTAGTCTACCTATGTGTCACTCAAAGGAAAATAGGAGGTTGTCTTTGGACAAGCATTGAAATAGATGTATGGACTTTGATGTCCTACACAAGAGGGAAAAGCCATTAGGCAGCTAGCTATTAGTAATAAATCACATTTCAGAAAGGAACTGTGGCTGTTCTGTAACCATTTTTTGTTTTCTTATTTCTTCCCCTCCTTTTCTCCCCGTAGTTCATCCTCTTAGGCTTGGCCTCATTTCTTTCAGGCCCATACCTGTAGAGCCAGGCTAATTTGCATAGTGGAGTTAAGAATTCTAAGAGCCACCTGAGATACAAGTAGGTTACAATCACAGACACAGGGCAGTGCCTGTGGCTCAAGGAGTAGGGCGCCGGCCCCATATACCAGAGGTGGTAGGTTCAAACCTGGCCCCGGCCGAAAACTGCAACCAAAAAAGAATCACAGACACAAGTACCTTCTCTTTTTCCGATTGCAGTGTCGATACACTCTGCAATATACCTACCCATATGCATACTACATGGAGTCTGGACCCAGGAAGAAACTGGTAAGACGAAGCAATCCTCCACTGTGTCCTGTTAGCTTCCAAGGTCCCCATGTCTTAGACACTTTGCAGGAGAGCAGGAAGCACATCCTGGTCATTGGGGGGGGCAAAATCAAAATAAAACTGTCTAACTGCAAAGTTCCCTTTTTACTCTGGGCAGCTCCAAAATAGATCTCAGGTGCTGTCATTTTCTGTAATAGTGAAGCAGATACACCTAAGCCCTTAAAAACCATATTTAAAGGATAATTGGCTAAAAGGTTTATGGTGCTTAGAAGCCCAATGCCCATACTTTAGGGAATATTCAGATGCATGTACCTGAATTTAATTAGCTTTTATGCCTTTGTTTAATTCTTTTTTGTTTGTTTGTTTGTTTGAGACAAAGTCTCATTTTGTTGCCCTCAGTAGCATGCCGTGGTGTCATAGCTCACAGAAACCTCAAACTCTTGGTCTCAGTTGATTCTCTTGTCTCAGCCTCCCAAGTAGCTGAGACTACAGGTGCCTACCACAACACCTGGCTATTTTTAGAGACAGGATTTGGTTCTTGGCTCAGGTTGGTCTGGAACCCATGAGTACAGGTAATCTACCTGCCTTTACCTCTCAGAGTGCTAGGATTACAGTGTGGGTATGAGCCACCGTGCCTGGCCTGTTTAATTCTTCATCTTAGATATGTGTTGTTTCTCACAGATTATAAAGTACTTCACGTTTATTCTTTAAATGCTAGAAAACATAGAAAAGCATGTGTCATCTTTAATTCCATCAATAAGAAATGACTGGGTGGTGCCTGTGGCTCAGTGAGTAAGGCACCGGCCCCAAATACAGAGGGTGGTGGGTTTGAACCCAGCCCTTGCCAACTGTAACAAAAAATAGCCGGACATTGTGGCAGGCGCTTGTAGTCCCAGCTACTCAGGAGGCTGAGGCAAGAGAATCTTCTAAGCCCAAGAGCTGGAGGTTGTTACCTTTTGATACCACAGCACTGTACCAAGGGCAACAAAGTAAGACTCTGTTTCTGAGAAAAAAAAAGAAAGAAAGAAATGACCACTATTAGCATTTACCAGCCTTATAAAGTTAACATTATGTATGTAGTCAAAGTTTTGTATAACATTTTGCTTTAAAACAGCTTATTGTTAAAGCTGTCACAATTTACCAGACTGGTAAATACTATTTTTTAAATGGCTACATAAATGTATCATGTTATACCATATTTTGGGACATTTGTTGTTTCTGGCTTTTGCTCTTTTGGACATTGAAGAACATTTTTGTTCATAAAGCCATATCTCCTTAGATGTATAATTAATAAATATTTAAGTTTGAATATTTTTACTATGTCACTCTTGGTAGAGTACAATGGCCTCACAGCTCACAGCAACCTCAAACTCTTGTGCTTGAGTGATTATCTTGCCTCAGCCTCCCAAGTAGCTGGGACTACAGGCACCCACCACAATGTCTGGCTGTTTTTTTGTTGTAGTTGTCATTGTTTGACAGGCCTGGGCTGGGTTCAAAACCACCAGCCCTGGTATATGTGGCTGGCGTCCTGTCCACTTAGCTATAGGCACCGAGCCTAGGGTAGGCTTTTGTTTGGATTCTGGCTCTGGGCATAGGAAATGTCACTGCTCTTTAAGAACAGCATCAGGGTTGTCTGTACTTATGTAAGCCTAAGGGGCTGTGTGTGCTCCCCAACCCCCTACCTTGGTCTATAGGCCCTGCCCCAGTTACAGCCCCCTTACCTTTTGATTCTCCTGCTGTACCTATACAGTTTGAATACCAGCAGGCTCAGCTGGAGGCTGAAATTGAAAATCTCTCATGGAAAGTGGAACGTGCTGACAGCTATGATAGAGGGGTAAGTGCCTGCTGTCTTCTGGGACCTTATATTGTAGGTAAGGGAAGACTGGGATAATAGCTAAGAGGGTGGTTTGCATGTTGATTGGAAACTGCTGCTAAGAAGGGTGGGAAGGGCAGTGCTTTTGACTCCTTGAAGCACTTGACGGGTGTGTGTGGCTTTGGGTAATCCCAGTTTTGGCTCCTGGGACTGGGTGGTGCCAACACTTATCCTTTTTCCCTGTTGCAGGACTTGGAAAACCAGATGCACATAGCAGAACAGCGGCGGAGAACTCTACTGAAGGATTTCCATGACACCTAGCTGGGACATGGGTGTGCTGGGGTGAGAAAGATTTGGCTGCAAGGTCTCCCAGCAGCCATACTGCATGCTGCAGGCTCTGCCTTTCACCACCCCAGGCAACAGCCAGGGCCCCACTCCTGAGAGACACTGGCAACACCCCTTAGTTGATTTCTGTTTTCTTCTCATCTTTTGACTTTTCATTTCTACCAGGGTAAAGGCCATGTTGAATTGGCCTCTTTTCAGGACTTACAGTTTCCCCCTGGATGGTTGTTGGGAGGGAGGGAGAGTTTTTTCTGAATGGCTATTAATAGTGTTAGATCATTACAACTTATGTAATTTTCAAAGGTTGTACAATTATACAAAAAAAGGCAAAACATAGGATAACGAAGAGCCCTTTTAAAAAATAAATTGGCATTGGAGTGTTTTACCCTCTAGCTATTTTACTGAGAATGTAATACATGCTGTCCATCCACCCTACCTCAGAATGTCTGTACTTCAAGAGGGCCCCAGATTCACATGTTTGGCCAGAGCTGGGAAGAATGTGGGTGGCAGATGGTAGAGAATTGAGTTGGCCTGTGCACTAGACATAAAGAGCATAAGGATTCACATCTTGCCTCCTGCATTACATTGGCAGTAAGGAGGTAGTGTAGGATAGGAGCTTTCTTGCCAAGGGTTGTCATCTCTGGTGGTACTGTTTTTCTGTGGGCTTTATTCTTGAATTTGAGATGTACTTGGGTCTGGCTACTCAGGCCAGAGCCTATAGCAGATGAAGGTGGGCTGTGGCCCTATAGACTAGGGGATGCAGGTTTAGCATAGCATTTCCTTTTGTCTCCAAAAACATAGAGGTCTACTTTTTTTTTTTTTTTTTTTGAGACAGAGTCTCAAGCTGTCACCCTGGGTAGAGTACCATGGCGTCACAGCTCACAGCAACCTCAAACCCTTGGGCTTAAAGGATTCTCTTGCCTCAGCCTCCCAATTAGGTGGGACTATAGGCTTCCACCACAACACCCGGCTGTTTTTTGGATGTAGTTGTCATTGTTTGACAGGCCTAGGCTGGATTCAAACCCATCAGCTCCAGTGTATGTGGCTGGCATCCTACCCACTTGAGCTACAGGCGCTAAGCCGATAGAAGTCTACTTTTGAAGGCAACTTCCCCCAAAATAAATTTGCTTTACTTTCATCCCTTCTTTTATGACAGTATTCAAGTAGTGTAACTGGCCTAGGTCACATGCAGCTGTACTTGATGCTGTCTTGCTGTATTCCCCTGGGTGAACATCAGAGTCAGAGTTCAGCATGGCCCTCCTGAGGGCACTGGCCTTCCTGCCTCAGGGGCCAGGTTTGCACAATTTATTTTCATGTTACCTGTAACATGTCCAGTGGCTGCTCTGGGGCTAGGGTGTGTTCCCCCTTGCCTGGTTCTGGCTGTCAAAGGAGACCTCCTCTAGGGTCTGGGAGTCTCAGACCAGGAGAGTCCTTGGTTTATGTCCCTAGCTCCTGTATGCTATATTGGCAGGGGCTGGCCAAAGGAATGGACCAGCTTTTGCACAATCAAGTGCAAGGGAGCAGGTGGTTTGCCTGGTGTCCTGTCTGTCCTTAACCTGGTCCTGTGGGCCTTCAAAAAGTTAGATCTGTGATCTCTGGGGTTTCTGTGGCTTTTCATTGCTTCTGCTATGAGGCAGGCTGTCTATGCTGTCCCAGGCCTCTTTGACCTCCTGGGAGAGCTGGTAGGGAGATCTGTGAATATTGTGGTGGAAATTCTTTGATATTTCATATATTTCACCTCCAGTCAGCAATTTCCCAGGTACCATGTTAGCAGTAGAATCATTCTTGACAGAGGACAGATGTGATTTGGGGGGTCATGCCGTATACGGTTGGTTGTGGATTCCCTTTCCCTTTCTCCCCCCTCAGGTTTTGTCTCTTCCTTTTGTCCCCAGCAAGGGAGAGAGACTGAGGGATGTATTGGGAGAACAAATTAGGAGTGTAGTGAAGAATCCGGAATGGAACAACAGGGAGTTAATAGTGGAGAAGAGTACCTGCCATAGGACCCAGCTGAGGTATGAATGCTGTGTTGGCATAGCGGAGTCCTGGGATCTGGAGCCTTCATCTTTCCATCAAGACCTTTCTGTGCCATCCCCATGGCATAGGATCTAAGTTTCAGCTCTGCAACCTAAGTCACACCCTGGGCATTTTTTTGACTGCATAGCTGTTAGACTCTATACTTGCGTCCAGTTGTGGCCATGTTCTCCAGAGCTGCAAGGGTTTCTGTACCCAGGCTTTGGCCTATAGCTCTTGATCTGTGGAGAGCTTCCTTTTGTGCCTCCAGCAGCTGTCCTTTGTTAACATTATCAGGAAGATGGAAAAGGTCAGGCAGAATTTTTCTGCCCTACAAAGGATAGAAGAGAAAAGAAGACAGTATTTTCACAAATTCACCGTATCTCTTTGTTTTTCTTCAAAGAAAAAATTGAGCCAATGTCATCTGCTCAAAGTTGAGTAGTTTATTCAGAATAAACTGTAAGTTTTCTGATTATTAAAGTGTGTGTAGAGTCTTTCTTCAAAGGGTCCAAGTAGCCTCCTGAGCCCCAGGGGTATCTAGCCATTGAATACCAGATGAGCCTTTCTATCATTGGCCCTTTCCTCTCAAGGGCTGTGAAGGTCCCACCAGCCAGACTCAGCTCTGCCTTTTTTTCTTTCTGGCCATTGGGGAGAGGATACCTGTAAGTGGTCCCTATGGGAAAAGAGGAATATCCTTGCAATTATAGCTCTTCTCCCCTCCCTGGGTACAGATTGAATCATTATCCTCCACAGACAGATTCTAGGATAATGGGAGGGCACTGATACAAATGCCCCAAGCCTCCCATTCAGAATATCTTTGGGTCCCTCCAAAGCACATGTTGGAGCATAGGATTGTGAAGTATGGCAAGTAGAATTGTGGCTTCACAGAGGCCCTAAGGATTATCAAAAAACATCTCAGGGGCGGCGCCTGTGGTTCAGTGAGTAGGGCGCCGGCCCCAAGTACCAAGGGTGGCGGGTTCAAACCTGGTCCCAGGCAAACTGCAACAACAACAAAAATAGCCAGGTGTTGTGGCAGGCACCTGTAGTCCCAGCTGTTTGGGAGGCTGAGGCAAGAGAATTGCCTAAGCCCAAGAATTGGAGGTTGCTGTGAGCTATGACTCCACAGCACTCTACCCAGAGTGACACAGTGACACTCTGTCTGTTTAAAAAAAAGAAACAAGGCTCGGCGCCTATAGCTCAACCAGCTAAGGCGCCAGCCACGTACACCTAAGGTGGCGGGTTCGAATCCCCAGCCCAGGCCCGCCAGACAACAATGACGGCTGCAACCAAAAAATAGCCGGGCATTGTGGTGGGCGCCTGTAGTCCCAGCTACTTGGGAGGCAGAGGCAGGAGACTTGCTTGAGCCCAGGAGTTGGAGGTTGCTGTGAGCTGTAATGCCACGGCACTCTACCCAGGGGGACAGCTTGAGGCTCTGTCTCAAAAAAAAAAAAAAACCAAAAAACAACTCCGGCTCAGCACCTGTAGCACAGTGGTTACGGTGCCAGCCACATACACCAAGGCTGGCGGGTTCAAACCCAGCCCAGGCCAGCTAAACAATAATGACAATGCAGCAACAAAAAAAATAGCTGGGCGTTGTGGCAGGCACCTGTAGTTCCTTGGGAGGCTGAGAAAGAGAACTGTTTGAGCCCAGGAGTTTGTTTGTTTGTTTTGTTTTTGAGACAGAGCCTCAAGCTGTTGCCCTAGGTAGAGCGCTGTGGCATCACAGCTCACAGCAACCTCCAACTCCTGGGCTTAAGCGATTCTCTTGCCTTAGCCTCCCAAGTAGCTGGGACTACAGGCATCCACCACAATGCCTGGCTATTTTTTGGTTGCACCTGTTGTTGTTTGGTGGGCCTGGGCTGGATTTGAACCTGCCAGCTCAGGTGTATGTGGCTGGTGCCTTAGCTGCTTGAGCCACAGGTGCCAAGCCGAGCCTAGGAATTTGAGGTTGTTGTGAGCTATGACGCTACGGCACTCTACCAAGGGTGACATAGTGAGACTCTATCTCAAAAAAAAACAAAAAACTCAGGACAGAAATTGGAAGTGTTTGGAATCTAATCCCAAGGGTGAAGAACAGGAAATGGGGTTTGGGTTCTGATTGAGGGTTCTGTATTTGTGGTGTCAGGAGTGACAGGAACTTCTATGGTAGGTGGTTAAGATAATTTGAAATCTCCAGAGAGCTGTGGGCAGCATGTTCAGTGCTGGTGAGACCACAGTTCTTTGAGACTTCAGGCGTGCTAAGCCTGATGCTTGGCATCTGGCATACAGTGGTATGAAGTGATTTATGAGCTGTACCTTCCAGGATCCTTTAGCCCATGGAGGACATAGAAGGGATTGGTCATAAGTGATTTCTTTTTTTTTTGGAAACAGAGTCTCAATCTGGCACCCTGGATAGAGTGCCATGGTGTTATAGCTCACAGCAACCTCAAATTCTTGGGCTTAGGTGATTTTCTTGCCTCAGCCTCCAAGGTAGCTGGGACTACAGGCGCCTGCTACAATGCCCAGCTTTTTTTTTTCCTTTGGTTGTAGTTGTCATTGTGTGTGTGGCTGGCTCTCTAGCTGCTGAGCTACAGGTACTGAGCCAGATCACTAGTGATTTTTTTACTGGAGTAGCAAGGCTGGGGGCAGAAGG